TATATATATATATATATACACACACATTATGGATTCTGTAGCTCACAGACAGTTGGGGAATAAATTATGTTGTTGCCCAGTCAGTAGATACAGGACTGCAGAGTTCAGATATTGAAGTTCATAGTTCATATTCAGACAAGGAATTTTGCAGATGTGAAGAAAGAAGAGTATCCTTCAGAGTAAGAACCATCAGTTGCTAACAATGAAAAGAAAATTCCAAATATGAAAAGTTGGGTTGTAGCTCTGCATTGTAGAGCTAAACTAAGCTTGAGGAAGTAATAATTGTTTAAAATATTAGCCAAAAGTGAAATGCCACCAACCTGTGGGTTATGGTGTCTGGCATTTGAGTAGGGAGTGGTGGGAACCTAGACCGGAAAAAGCCAGACAGGGTAGGCTTCCTCTTTAAGGGAGCATGTTAAATGTTATTCAGTTTCTAGAGCTGTGTTTAGCAGAGCACAAAAATAACAATATGAAATAAAATATGAGGCACATGTTTTGGATGAGGCATGTCAAATCATAACTGAAAAATTTCCTCATTTCCACAATGACCTTGCAGGAGAATCATTAATTTCTACGTGTCAAAGTTTGAGGCTGGGCTGGCCACTAAACTTTGTCAAATGCTCTCTACAATTGCCTTGCCATCCTCCCAGGGGAGAATAACCAGGGAGAGAGATGTTGAGGTTGAAAAAACTTGAACCCATTCACAAAAAATAAAAATAATAATGAAGATGTTAAACTATGCATAGATATTATACAAGTATACAAATATATTCAAAGACACAAGAGATTATAGTCTCCACTCAGGGAGGCAAGGGAGGGTTACCTGTCCTGACAAACAGTGCTCCCCTGCAGCATGAAAACAGGAGAGAGGAAACACCAACAGCACAGCAAGAGCTGACAAAGAGCCCATGACAGCCCCTCCCATCAAGCACTAAAGTCCCCAGAGCTCTCCTTAAGGGTCTTTATAAACTGGACACCATGGGAAGAAATACTGTGATTGGTCCATTTAGGTCATCTCACCCATCCCCTCCTCCCCAGCTGTGATTGTCACCTGTGCCAGGGAGCCCCAGAAAACTTTTATCCTGGTTCTCTAAAACCAGGACAATACATCACGTTCTGGTCCAGCAGCTTTCAGTGATATGCTGGGGAAAAAAAAAAAAACAAATCCCCTCAGGCCCTTTGGAAAGGTCCTCTCTGCGTATCCCTTTGGCTGCAAATTTGCTCCTCACTGCAGGCAGATCCTCCTCCCATGCCCTCACACTTGCTGTGGGTCTCTCCTCTGCAACCAGCCCCCTAAGAGGCTCTCCACTGCACCCTGAGAAATGAGGAGTGTTTTCCTCTTCTCAGAGAGGTCCACAATGTAATGACTTTTTTTTTCTCCCCCTAAAAGATAAAGCTTGTAATAATTTTTCAGTAAACTGGAACATCGTAATAGCCCTCATGTGGGGATACAGGATCTCCAAGGGCTGCTTGACCTGAGAGCCAGCTGCTTCTATTATCTGCAAGGCTTAAGGAATCTGACCAGCTCAGCAGAAGGCAGAAAATCCTCTACCAGTCTCAGCAACTCTGGGCTTTCCCTCTGTCCTCTGGGCCGGATTAAAATAGGTGGCATCTCAGAGACTTGGGGAAGGACAAAAGATGGAATATTTGTGCATTTATTCAGCAAGCAAGCATTCAGCATTTGCTGCAACCAGCTGTTGCCATGGCAATCAGTAAGAGACTTTCAAAGATAAACTGCCAGTGCTGTGAACTCTATTTACAGTCTGTCTTGAATGTTAAAGAGGAGAGAAGAAAAGAGGAAAAGCATAAAAAGAGAAGGGGAAAGCTTTGCAAGACTGATGCTCACTGACAGCTGAATCCTTGCAGCATGTGGGGTCTGATAACCCTTGTGAGAGTTGAGGAGACACAGAAGTTTTAACCGACTTGAAGGCTTTCTTAGCATGCTACAGCTCAGCTAGTGCTTTTCACTTTATAAACTTCTGACAGGAGATGAGTTTACTTAGCTCTTCTGCTAGGAACTCCTTGTGATATATCCAGTGAAGAAAAGCATCATTCTCAGTTTCTTAGTGTCACATGTCTCATAAGCCTTTCAACTCCATTTCTTCATGTTCCACATGAACTGGACTGGAATTAATATGCATTCATCATACTGGCAGGAAATATTAATTCCAAAAACTTGTAAAAAAATTATTACTACCTGGTGCCCAGTTTAAGTATCTGAAGGGAATGCCACCATTCCACTGCCAGCCACTGTTGAGATTCAGACTGTTAAGCCCAATCCAGAGAGAGGATCTCTTGCTGTCAATCAAATCTAGGTAACCAAAAGAGTTTAATTCTAATGAGATTTATTAGAAAATGCTCTAATTTTCAAAGCTAGGAGGAAGATAAAAAATGTCTGCTTAGCGATTTCTGAGTTCAGTACAGAATCCATGTTTACTGGCAATAAACTCAGAGTGTATTTTGTAGATAAAGGATAGAGAATGGCAAAAGTCTATTTTGCATATTAAATTATCTGAATTTAATGCTATTCTACAGTTATATGTAATATTTTTGTATAAAAGTTTGCTTGATGGTGATGCAATTAATATAGGGCCTTTGTTCTACAGAGTCTATGCATAAATCCAGAAAGATTTTCCATAATGTTTTATATAAAATGTGTATGGTATTTCCAAAAATCTGATTGATTAGATATATGTGATTTCTTTACACAAAAGTCATATAATGACTGCCTCCTATAATGATATTCCTTCTTGTGAGGTCCCTTTCTAGGACCTTTCTGGTGTTTTCTGAGCTTAATTTTTGCTTAATTATGTCGAGATTCTTAACTTTCTTTGAAAAAATAGTAGTAATAGAAATAATTTCAGATGGCAATTCCACAACTTATGTAAGTTTGATTTATAAAAACTTAATTTAAAATAATTGTACGATTTCTCTAGTAATACACAGTCCATTTTTACATCAGCAATTCATTGTAATGTTATTAAAACACTGAAACATTTGTCATCATTCAAAAAACTATTTGACAATTTTACCAAGTCTTGCTTATTAGTTCACCTCTTAGATACGTTTGTTCATGTATCTCTGTCACACTTAATAATTCTGCATTCTGCTGCTGGCAGCTCCTCCTTGCTTGGTGCCACGTGAGAGCTGACTGATGGTTTATCTGGTAGTGGGTTCCTGTCAGAGGATCTGTAATCCAAAATCTGTCACTGTCTGCGTGAGAGAAAGGAGATTTATTGTTGCAGTTTGTTATAAACCTATTACACACACTGCAAGCTTATTTGTAAAATAAGATTCAGAAGCAAATAAGACTCAGACCTCTAAAACCCATAGTCTACAATTAGGTTGCTCCTTGTTAAGTAAAAGAGGGTTTGCCATTGACATGAGCAGAGATGGGCTTTTCATTCTTTATTTCCAGTTTCCCTGTCACATCTGGTAATCTCCAGGTGAAGAAAAGATGAAAACATCAATAAACAAAACTGCACCTTGGCCATTATGTACTCTGGAAACCTACTCTATGGCTCATAGGCTATGCCCAAATTAACACCATGAGCCAGCAGAGTGTCCAGGTTGCCAGGAAGGCCAAAAGCATCCTGGCCTGTATCAGGAATAGTGTGGTCAGCAGGACCAGGGAGGTGGTTGTCCTCCTGTAGTCGGCTTTGGTGAGGTTACACCTCAAATCCTGTGTTCAGTTTTGGTCCCCTCACTACAAGAGGGACACTGAGGTGCTGGACCATGTTCAAAGAAGAGCAACAAAGCTGGTGAAGGGTCTCGAGAACAAATCTTACAAGGAGCAGCTGAGGGAACTGGGTTTGTTCAGCCTGGAGAAAAGGAGGCTGAGGGGAGACTTTATTGCTCTCTATAACTCATTGAAAGGAGGCTGTAATGAGGTGAGGGCTGGCCTCTTCTCGCATCTAAGAAGTGATATGATAAGAAGAAATGGCCTCAAGTTGCACCAGGGGAGGTTTAGATTGGACGTTAGGAAAAATTTCTTCACCAAAGGGGTTGTTAAGCATTGGAACAGCCTGCCCAGGGAAGTAAGTGCTCCCCAGGGATGGAAGTACTTAGAAGACATGTAGATGTGGCACTTAGGGACATGGCTTATTGGGACTTGGCACTGTTAGGTCAATGGTTGGACTTGATGATTTTAAACATCTTTTTCAACCTGAACGATTCTATGATTCTATTAGTTTTCAAAATGTATTCTTTATTTCTGATCTGCATGTGTTTTAGGTAATTGGAATTTTAAAATTATCTTCTGAGAGCTTACTGTTTGCAAAACTTCTCCCTGACTTGGACCTGTGGGAGCAGGTCCAGAGGAGGGCAACGAAAATGATCAGAGGGCTGGAACACCTGTCCTATGAAGAAAGGCTGGGAGAGCTGGAGTTGTTCAGCCTGGAGAATAGAAGGCTCCAGGGAGACCTTATTGTGGCCTTCCAGTACCTGAAGGGGGCTTATATGATGAAGACAGTCTTTTAGGAGGGCCTGTTGTGATGGGACAAGGGACAGTGATTTTAAACCAAAAGAGGATAGATTTAGACTATATGTAAAGAGGAAATATTTTATAATGAGGGTGGTGAAACACTGGAACAGGTTGCCCAGAGAGGGCATTCCTAGAAACGTTCCAGATCAGGTTGGACAGGGATCTAAGCAACCTTATCTAGTTGTAGATGTGCCTGCTTATTGCATGGAGGAGTGTGCTAGATGACCTTTAAAGGTCCCTTCCAACCCAAAGCATTCTATGATTTGATGACACAGATATTTTTGAGTAATAAAAGGTCATTACAAGATTTTTTTTCTTTCCATACTATTAGCAGTGTCTCAGTATTGATAGGTTTATTATAGAATTGTCAGAGTTGGAAGGGACCTTAAAGATCATCTTGTTCCAACCCCCCCGCCATGGGCAGGGACATCCCCCACTAATCAGGTTCCCCAGAGCCCCATCCAGCCTGGCCTTAAAAACTTCCAGGGATGGGGCTTCCACCACCTCTCTGGGCAACCTGTGCCAGTGTCTCACCACCCTCATGGTGAAGAACTTCTTCCTAACATTCAATCTCAACCAATCCATCTCTAGTCTTAATCCATTCCCTCTAGTCCTATCCAATATCCTAAAAAGCCCCTCACCAACTTTCTTGTAGGCCCCCTTGAGATACTGGAAGGCCACAATAAGGTCTCCTTGGAGCCTTCTTTTCTCCAGACTGAACAACCCCAACTCTCTCAGTCTGTCTTCACAGGAGAAGTGCCTCAGCCCTCTCTAATCATCCTAACAGTACTGTGTTATAGCATCTATGTCAGCATTTGGGACTTACTGCTAGTTGGACAGAAGCCATACAAATGGTCCGTGTCGAAACTGGGAGTCGTTGCACACCAGAGCAAACCGTCTGACCTGCCAGCAGCCGTGCACCCAGCGTACCAAGTACCACTGAGCTGGAAGGGGAAGGCACACGGAGCTCCATTGGCATTTCCGAAGAGTGTGAACAGATCTGAGGGGGCAAAAGTGAAATTTTAATACAGGTATCGGTATCCGGGGAACCCACTTGTCTCCCTATCTGTACTCTCCATAAGGCTATGTGGAAAAAGTGTTACAGATGTTACATCAGTGTAACCAGGAAACTACTGTCACCAGCAGTGTCTTCCAAGGAAGTTCTGGGTAGGTCTAGCAATCTGCCATTTATTTATGATATCACTAGCTATTAATAGAGCAGTTTCTTCATGTAGCCAACTGTGAAAGAACTGTAGTCATTTTTGTCTCATATATTTAAATATAATTTTCTTAAAATACCATGCTTTGCTTACATGTTGCTTACCTTCCCTACATTCATTAAAAATAAATTATTGGTGTAATTTTTAAATGTTGTTGGACTTTTGGTATCTGAAATCTCACAGAACAACAGAATGGTAGTGTGCATGTAATTATTTCCTTACACTTAAGGCTGGTGTATTAGAGATTTTTGCATTTTATCCAACAATACTAATAGAATTCCACTAGTACTAGTATGTAGCTCAGCAAAGTAATTTGATTAAAGCCTAGATACAACTTTGCTTTAAAATAAAGAAAAAAAAATGCACATTTTTATCTGTCTGAAGTTAAGCAGGTGTGCATTTCTGGGATGGAGCAATACAGGCCTGAATATGTGAACTAATAATCCTCCAGTCTGTCATTGCCTCAGGGGAAACAGCTGATGTTAAAATAAGGGGATCAGAAATTAAAAGACCCTGTCCATGATGGCAAACAAGTGGATTCAATACACTGTCAGAAATAACCTTTGAACTTTACCTTCATGGCCTTGAGTACACAAATCATCCATGGTTCCATAGATCTTCCATTTATTCATCGTGGCTGGTCCTGTGTTCAGCACGATGTCATTTCCTTTTCTTTTGCCAGCACTGAGAAATAAGTCTTCCCCTTGGATTGCAAAGGTTGCATTTCTGCACTCCCATTTCTGGAATTCACTTTCCTTGTTGCATGGGTACAAAGAAACTTTAGCCTGGTTTTGCTTGTAGGGCACTCCCAAACATTGTGCAAATGCCACGCTCATCACCTGGTGATCAGACACCCACCTGAATTTTTGTGACTCAGTGCTTTTCTGGCAAGCAGTTGTTGTGACTGCATGGGTATTCTGAGCAATTAAACAGAGCTTAGTATCCTCGTTGTATATCAAAAAAAATTCATTGTCTGCAAAACAAAATAATCAGAATTAATGTATTTATGGTAAGCACATGGTGAGGGGAGCTTGTGAGGAAAAAGATGTGCTGTTGATTCTATGCTGATCTGACTCATGTCAGGAGACTAAATCTGAGTCACTTTTGCAAAGATCAAACAGCATTTTCAAGACTTTTATTTCTTTCTGGGAAGGAAAAATAAGTGCAGCTCATGTAAATACAGTACAGAGGAATAAGAGCACATAAAATACATTTTGAAAGCTTCAAACACGTCAACACTATAATGGAATTTTCATGAGTATAGTGGAATTTATTTTTCTAAATCTCTTCTGAAACATGCACTTCTTTCAAGATTTCCAAAAGAGAACTCACTAAAGATTTGGAAAGTCGCCATCACTTCGTGCACTATAGATTTAGCTAACGTTACATGCATCTCCATTTGTTGCTTTTGTGCTTAATACAGTTAGCGAATAAACCTTCTGTAACTCTTGCTCCTTCTGTAACTGGCACATTTCATTATGGTTTGGGTTTGTTTTTTTTCAAGAAGAAAAACCATGGAACAGTGACTTGTTATCTTGCATTGTTCCATTATCCTCTCATCTGTACATCTTTCGTTAAGAAGACAACATAATTCACACAATCAAATCACAAGCACTCCCACAAGAACCAAGACTGGGCAGTATATAGAGGTAGAGATACTCTAGGTTTGTGCCTGTGCGTCATTGTAGAAAGACAATATGTGAATGATGAAGCAGCTAGTGCTCCCAGGGGATTACAGGAGCCCAGTTTAGTCATCCATCAAGAAAAGTGGTCCCCGCTGGGAAGGGCTGCCCGGTACTCAGTTGCACTGTTGACATGTAAAGCCTGTGAACACAGCTGCCTGCTTTTCAAAATGTCAAGTAGCATACAGCTCCTGCTGGCTTTGGATCATGAGAGAGTGAAATCTGAAGCACAGGGAATATCCTAGGACATATGGGACAGGGGGGCAAGGCTTTCTCCTTCAGTTTTCCATGCTCCAAATCCCCACCTGGACATGGAGATGTAGCATCACCCCCATATCGATCTGAGAGAATAACCACATGAGGGACAGTGCAAAGCCCTTCCAAATGTTAAAGTGGATTTGTAGGATGTTCAGGCACAGCCAAAGTTAAGCAGTGAACAGAGCAGAAAGTGTCTAGGAAATTCTGGGAAGCTATGAGAGGAAGAATAGTTCTTGTTAGAATATCCATACTTAATGCTTGGGCTCTCTCTAGGAGGCTCTGTGTTACTTTCACCAGCTTAGAAATCTGTGGAAGTTTCATTTCTTCAAATCTAAATTTGGAGCTAAGGCGTAGCTTCTTCTTTCTTTCTCCATTTAGATAGAAAGTTTTAAATCTTATTAAATCTTACATTTCTTACTGCTAACTAAACTAGAGCGCATGGCACAGCATCTGCTTTCAGAAGTTGTGATTTGTGCCCCACTCTAATGAATTGAAGGATAAAGTAAAAACGTCCTTGAACATATCACCACCCTTACATCAAAACGGAGCTGTGATCTGTCCTTGGTCAACTTCATAGCCTTAACTACGCCTCTCATCCTCACTCGGAAAGCTGTAATGGCTGTTCCAGGGCTATTCTTGACTCTGATCTTTTAAATATTTCTTTCACTGGCATCTGCTCAGCCACACTATTACATATGATGTCAATCACAAACTCCATCGCATCTCACACAATCTCATCCTAAGGCTAGGAAATGATACACATACGGCACCCTATTTAATTCCTTTCTCTTTGTCACTTTTTGTAACTCAGTCACATACACAGACAAGGACTATGGAGCACACTGTGAAGTCTATCTACTTCACAAAGCAGACATAACCAATAATTAAGTTGTATGCAAATGGAAATCTTGATCCTAACGCATAACTCTGTCTTGAATTCTGGTTCCCAGCTTTTCTCAATCTTGGCTCTTCCCAAATCTTTAAAAGTGAAACAACATCTCTGTAGCTGCATCTTTTCTAATTTCTGTGGGCTGCTAAAGTTAGGATCAATATGAAACACTGAGTGATCAAGCTGCATGAAAATCTTAAAGAGCCTGAGAAACAAGAAAGACAACCAAAATACCTACTTTTTCAGGGGATAAAAACCAAAGACTCACCGAGTGTCTGAAAAGCAGTATGAACGGAAGAGAAGAAAACTATCAAAAAAGTAAATTGCTTCATTTTTCTTCTCATTCACAAAGAGATGAGCTGCACTTAATTGCTGCAGTAGAAGTCTTAAAGAACCAAGTTGGCACTAGTTCCTTCTTAGTTTTGAAGAGTTTTAGTTGAAAGAGAAAGCTCTGGGCTCTAAATAAGGAACTATCCTGTCACATGGTATTTTGAAATCTATAAACAATTACAAAATTCAAACTTTGCATCTCAAATTGAAGTTTCCTTTCATTCAAATGCAAGTGGCAAAGTTTGAACAGTTCAACATCATTTCGTTGCATTTTTTTTTAACTTTCTTTGTTCTGCTCTGAAATTGTAAAATCCTGATCCTCAAAGCCAAAGAAGCAGGGAGTGAACTTTAAAGGGAAGTGATTTAAATCTCATACATACATACATACATACATACATACCTGGAAAACTCAGCAAAAAATATATACAAATTTCTTGGCCGGATCGATCTTACTGCTACAAAAGATATATTAATTTAATTTGATACACCAAGCAGTGTCAACTACTTCACTGTGAAAAATTAACCCAGGTGAGACAATTTAATTTTGCAAGGTAATTTGACAAACTGGGCACTATGTATACATAGAGCTTTTATCTTCTCTGATTTATGAACTGGTAAAACTACTGTGCTGTTATTTGCTACATATTTACCTCAAGAGAACAAATATAAATTAACCAAATCATTATAAATCTTTATGTTAGTCAGTGATTTTTACAAAAAAAAAAAGCCTTTCAAAAATATTTAATCTATTAATCTGTTAATTTTAATACTCCATAATTCTTTCTTTGTACCAAGTGTAAATGAGACAAGAAAAGAAAAATATTCTCAAACTTTAAAAATGAGCGGCAGCCCTTTATTAAGTGGAAATTAACTTCATCTGCGATATAGAATCCCTTATTTGTTTTGAAGGAAAAAGAGGAAAGAAAATTTCCCTTATAATTTTCTCTCATTTTTCATGGCTTTATTATGTAGACAGATCTCACAATATATTCTGCAAGGGCAAAACTTCACTTAATGTAAGAGAAGAAACTCTTCAGAGCTATGTTACCAATATCAAATATCAAAATATAAAAAATATAAATTATTATTTTTTTCAGTGTGATTTTTTTTAAATCTGTTTACTCATTTCATTTGCCATTGTTTCATTGCCATTTTCATTAGCCATTAAATAGCGTCAAGTCCAATTCAGTGTCAGTATTTATAAAAAAGATAAATATGGGTATGTGTTGTAACTTACACGAAAGAAAAAAAAGGAGTAAGATCAGTGAAAGCAGTTTCAGTGCAGAATGCCCTTCATTTGCTATCTCTGCAATATGTCTTGTGTGACTGCAACATCCACAAACCAGCAACTCAGTGTCATGCGAATCTCTCCTTTCCAATGACCTCTCCTTATGCACCTTCTTACACGCTTCCTAAGGGTCTGATTTTCCCTGAGATCCTTGAGATCTTTTGTTTTTCATCAGTCTGTCAGAGACAATATAGAATTCATAGGAAACTTAAACAACAGAGTAAGCCCCTAAATCATTTCACTACCAAGACACTGTGGTGTGTCCCACTGCCTTCCTGGTGCAGTGCCCAGTCACCAGTCCAGTTATCAGACACTTGCAGAATAGTAAGAAAAGACATCCAAAAATGAGTGATCAAGTGAAATAAAAACAGGAGTGGATTCTTCCACCTTTATTTGGCATCCACTTTACTCTATAGATTATTTATGGTTCTTGTTAGTCTTACGCCTTGTTCAAGTTTCTGTGTTTTCTCCCGTTAGCCTCTCTCTTAAGGTACATGACTCATTAGATCAGTAAAACATATAACATCCCCATGTGCTAATTAAACAACACTGAAGGATTTTCATGTAATACGTAGATCCTTTATTGACATAGTCTCTCATTAATAGCTGATACAACACATTCAAAGTCATATTCTATGATTCTTGGCAACAATTTACTTGTTTTGCAAAATCCAGATTGAAGCCATAAGTGAAGGACAAGTGTTTGCATTTCACTTATAATGCTACAGAAAAGAAGACACTTGTGTGAAGAGTGTAAGACAGGGGCAGTAATGTGCAAAAATAATTACTGTAAATGCCTGTTTATTCCAAACACCATTTTACTTGAGTAGCGCAATGTATGCTGTGATGAGATATTCTCGAAGTGCAGGCTTTGAGGCTAAGTGCTCTGCAAAGAGAGGGCTCACTACATGTCTGCACTTGATTCTGTCATATGATACTGCCACAAACCTCTAAAAAGAGAGAACATTCAGGTATTAATCCATAACTTTTAAATCTAAATTCCCACTAGTTCTGGTATTTTTCATGCTTGTTTAATTATCCATTTTATACAGTACTGACTATGAGTTAAGAGCAATAGCTCTTAATACATACCAAAGGAATAATCAGTAACTTTAGTTCACAGTGTCTATTAGGCTTTGAAATTTTCATCAATATAAATTTTATTAAGCTTTTCTTTGTTCCAGCTAGATTTTTTTAAGCTTAACCATATAGTTTGGCTGTGTTATCCCATTAGACGACACTGTGTTCATTTTTTCCTTTGTCGTTAGTAGAATCATTTTCCTCGTCCTTTCCAGTTAAGATATGGCTGTATTCTACCAGTGTGCTGTGCTGTCCCACCTCTCTGTCAGTCTCACTTTGAGTTTTGGTCTTGAAAAAGAAATAAATCATGAAGCCCATCCCTAATAAAATGATGAGGACCAGCATAAGTAGTATCCACATATTCATGTGACCAAGTGCTTTGTCCTTCTTGGCATCTGTAAAAAAATACAAAGCAAGCAGAAGTGGGTGTACTGAAGCCATAAGTAGATAAAAGAATATTGAAAACTGTTATTTGTCATTTTCCCCTTAATTACCAGGTGGAATATCTATCACGTCTCAGTGTCAGTCCCCCTCATAGATCTTGGCATGCAAAGAGGGGCTGTTCAGTTTACTAAAGCATTTAGTAAACCTGGGATGCCTTAAATATTCCATAGGAACTGCTAAATTATGCTGGGAATTAATTCAATGACAACTAGGTAGATTAAGCTCATACAAATAAATATATGAAAGACAAATAAATAATAAATACCAATTAAAAAAAGAAAAACAATCATTTTTCTTCACGTCTTTTTGAAACTATTGGAAAGGAAATATAAATCCTACCTTCCACATTTGCAGCTGTTTTAAGAATCGCTGTCAAAGATAAAGACAAGTGTTTAGTTAAAATTGAAAAAGGTTACATTTTCATGCTGGAAGTTTCATGCTAGCAAAAGGTCTCGTAATCTGCCTATCAAGGTTTCCTCATCACTTCTCCTGGAAACACATTTGCTAAATTAACAGAGATGAAAAGATGTGGTTGATTTTTAATCTTATATCCACTATGATAAAACCACAGTGTTTTGTGTAGTAAAGCCCCTTATTGTTTCTCTTTTAATAACCAAGGAATCCCCAAACACAGGTAGTTTGTGACTCTTAAACTGACTTTCTCCTCTCCTCTGGGGATATTCAACAGTTTTCTTACACTGTATGCAGGTTTTTAGAGATCTATCAGCTTTTAATTTACCAGAATTTATTTGCATCTGTAATTACGTTTATAAACTCAAGCTTCCTCCTGCAATTTTTCCCGGCTGTGCACAGAGGGCGCCGTCTGCAAGTGTTTTTCCGGCGGGGGGGGGGGAGCGGGGCAGGGTCGCTGCCCGA